GCAAAACTTTTTTATTTTTATTTTGACTAAAACTTTAAAAATTTTGGTGCATCTTCCTTGACTTTGATTTATTATTTGAAACGAAAAAAATGATTATGCAATGATTAAAAACTTATATCTCTTTTGCCTCCAGAATGGCTAACCTTTGCGATATAAAATAAATAGCAAAACATTTGGCATACCTCTGCCTATAATTTTCCCCATAGAACTACCCGGAGAAAATCTAGTACATCAGTGAAATCTAATGTTTTCAGGGGGTTTATGATGCCCCAATGGGAGTTTAGCCCCCCCCTCTCCCTCTAGAAATAAAAATAAAAATTGAGGCCCCCCTCTTTACAAATACCTGTATGCATTGTAGATCGGAGAGTTCTATCAGAAAAAAATTGGGTACATTTTATCAAAGTTAGAGTAGAGGGCGCCATTAGCTATATTTCTCTGAAAATTTAAATTATAAGCGGTTAAATAATGTCGTCTTTAAATTAACGATGGCCAACTAATATTTATTGGAGCTAATTGGGGAAACAGGACTCAAAACTGATTTGTTCTTGATTCTTGTAAAGGTCCAAAATAGTTAATTCAATTTCAACAAAAAAAAACAAAATATGTCATGTCAATTAGATAAAAGTTTAATAACAAAAATTCTACAAACGGATAAAAAATATCAGGTTGAAACTATTGTTGCCGCTTAAAAAAGGTGTAAAGTTTGGAGTTACGAGGTCGGAAAGTCGTACCATGAAATTTTGAAGTATCTCATCAACATAGATTTTAACTTTAGAGAGCGGGAGTTTTTCTCACAGTTTTAAACTTTTTTTTGGCGAAAAATAAAGAAAATCATTCTGAGAAATTATCAATCTGACACATTATACAAAATTATAAATGATGAAATTATGAAGCACAGGTTTAAAGAGTATACAGGGTGTTCCAATAAACATGAGAAGTGAAGATTTTTGATATCGTCTTTCTAAGATATTTTTCATTTTGAATGCTGAAAACTGTAACCAAACCAAATAAACTAAACGTAACCTTATCAAGACTTTAGAAATAAGGCAAACCATGTACTTAACAATATACTAATAAATGACCATACTACCTTCAATTAGAACTAATAAGGCAAACCATGTACTTAACAATATACTAATAAATGACCTTACTACCTTCAATTAGAACTAATAAGGCAAACCATGTACTAAACAATATACTAATAAATGACCATACTACCTTCAATTAGAACTAAACTTTTCCTTCATTATAAAAGAATAGTCACCGAACTTTGTTATCGTATATATTGTGTAGTGTGTATTGCATTATACAGTGAAACCCTTAATAACGAATACATCGGAAGAATTTATCAAATGTCGTCTTGACAATTTTTCAATGAGTTTTATACTATATTTAGTAAATTTCAGTATTTGCGAAAATAAATAAATAGCCATGAATATGCGGGAACAGTTTTAAAGAGTTCCATATAATCATTTAAATGAAAAACTAAATATCTGCAACATTCCATTATCAGAATGTGAAGAATACGACATTTGATGAATTCTTTCGATGTATTCGTTATTCGTTTATTCGTTATTCGTTATTCGTTATTCGTTTCACTGTATGTAAACAAAATATCGGTTGAACTTATCATCAATAAATTAAATCATCCCACAAAGAAGTTTTTAAATCCGAAATACTCGCTGTTGTTATACCGGATTCTCGTATCAATGAAAACCGTAACAGGATCATATTTTAAAGGTTGAGAGTCTAAAAGAAGATGTTTGGGAATTGGATTCGTCTCAAAGGTAAATTTAACAAATGTTCATGTTCGGATTGTATGTTTATGTTCATATAAGATTTATGTTCAAATAGGGTTTATGTATTTGTGAACATTATACGAATATAGTATAGAGGACGTGAGTCAGACTCTAATAAAAACGCATAAATAACTTCCAGTATATATATTTCTTATAACTTATTACTAGAGGGTTGAGAACTAGAGTAAATATCAATATCACACGTGTTAGACTGTCCTTCAGTACAATGCCCCGTATCTGTTCTATCTCATTCCGTTGAATCTTGTGGAACTTGTTTAAGGCGGCCCGGCATCGCCTACCACTGTTATAAAAGAGAATATTTAGGAACAATTTGTTGTTCTATGGGGTTAAAGAAGAACCAGGACAGTCTACTGAGGCAGCAATAAGGTCAGAAAAAGGGAAATAAGGCGTACCAATGGAATCAAAAAGGTCAAAAAGGTTAAAAAAAAAGGTTAAAAAGGTCAGGAATGGACAGTGAGGTCAAGAAAGTTCAATAAGGGAAGGAACTGTCAACTAGGGTAGGAAATGTCAATAAGTTCAGGGAAGTTTAAAAATGTCAAGAAAGGTCAATAAGGATAGTAAAGGTCAATATTTTAGGAAAGGTCAATAAGTTTAGAAAAAGGTCATTTTGTTCAGAAATGTTCTATAAGGTGAGTAAATGGCAATAAGGTATGGAAAGGTCAATAAGGTTAGGATACATCAATAAGGGCAGGAAAGGTCAATAATAAGAGAGAAGTGTAATAAGGTCAGGAAAGGTCAATAAGGTCAAAAAAGGTCAATAATGTAATAAAGGCAGGAAAGGTCAAAAATAAGAGAGAAGTGTAATAAGGTCAGGAAAGGTCAATAAGGTCAAACAAGGTCAATAATTTAATAAAGTCAGGATAGGTCAAGAAATGGAGGAATTCGGTCAATATTATTTGGGAAGGTCAATAAGGTCTGAAAAGGTCAATCATGTCTGGAAAGGTCAATAAGGTCTGGAAAGATCTGTTTGGTCTGAAAAAGGTCAATACGGTCTGAAAAGGTCAATAAGTAGAGGAAAGATCAAGAAGTCGTTTCTTAGGTTTAAAAGTGTTTATTTTTCCGTAATGTTTCCCTGCAGTAGAAATGTGAAAGGCACTTTTACAGAGAACCCACAGTTGAAAATAATAAGTTTTCAAAAATGTAAACATTGATATCTAATTCATATGTGATCAGACACCGATTTCAAGGGTACCATTGTGAATCGTTCATTGGCATCTTTGCATGGAGGGTCACTTATATTACGCTGAAAGTCCCTTTATAAAGTTTTATTTTCAAAAGTATAGCTCAAAACTAACAGTCAACAAGTTTTTTTTCCAGAAAAAGGAAAAAGTTGCGCTTCCTAATGGGTTCATAAATAAATGGGTTCAAAATATATGGGTTCATAAATAAATGGGTTCAAAATATATGGGTTCATAAATAAATGGGTTCAAAATATATGGCTCATTGAAGCTAATCAAATTTTAACCTTAGAAATTAAACCACCCTGAATTGTGATTACTTAAGATGATTTTTGTTTCGTTTTGAAAATGCAAAAACAACATTTTTTTAATGATGAAGCCTGAAGCCTGAATATTTTATTCAAATTTACGAATTGATTTTAAATTTTTTTTCAGAAGTTCCAATGTTCATATCTCAGAAGATTTCCCCCGCAGAATACGAATACAGAGAACTGAACTCAACAAATTCGCAAAAGAGGTTTTTAAGATTTTTTTATGTATTTTATTTTCAAGCGACTATCCATTTACAACGGTACGCTTGAAACCTTTATCTGATAAAAACGTGGAAGATACCGTTGTTTTATTAACTCGATAAGTGTTTATTTCTGTGAGTTTCTCCATTTCTTTTTAAAACAAGAAATCTGCATCAAGCCACTTTTGGAGAGAAACCGCAAATGAAATAAACAGTTATAAGGAACAAAAACATATTTATCTAATTCATACTTGATCAGACAAAGCTTTTAAGGGTACCGTTGTAAATCGAGCATTGCAAGTTTTGCATGGAGGGCCACTTGAAAATACGCGTTTAGTCTCTTTCTTGCGTCAGCTCATAATTCATCTTGTTGTAGAGTTGAAAATGCCCTGAGCTGAAAACTTTAGAATGGGGGATATCGGGATTAATGCTTGATCTCCTCTTTTCCTTAATATCCAGATTAAATAATGATTGTTCTCCCCTTGTTATTGATCTCCAGATTAATTTACATATCGGGATTTAGGATATCCTATTCTAAAGTTTTCAGCTCTGGTCTAAGTAAAATTTATATTGTCAATATCGCACCGTCGAAACAGGATCAAAAAACATATATTATTACCTTTCTAAAGTTTTCTAAACTTACGAAAAATTCTTTTCGCGAAATGTCAGTGTTCCATCATTTTGGCGAATATTTCACTTGTTTTGAAACAGTTTAACTAGAATTCTAATTAAAATATTCTATAACAGGAATAAATGTGAAAATAATGATTTAGTTAGCATAGTATCGTCATACTGTCAGATACAATTTTTCTGATATTTATAAAAAGTCCTGTGGAAAAAAGTCCTTTTATTAAAAAGTCTCCGGAAATAAAGTCCTACCAATTCGAGACTATATTTTCTTGGACTTTTTTTCTGGCTCCAGTAAGATTTTATACAAAAAAGTCCTCGGAAAAAAAGTCCTCTACAAGTGAAAATGCATGATTCACAATTCTAGATTTTTCTTTTCCTCGGATTTATTTTCTTCAGGACTTTTTTTCCTGGGATCTTATTTCCTGAGACTTTATTGGCAGCCCCCATACTATTTTAGGAAAAAAAGTCCCAGGAATCCAAAACACAGGACTTTATTTCCAGTGACATTTTTTCCAAGGACTTGAGAAAATTCTTTT